GGGGGGGGGGGGGGGCGCAGCCGGCCCCACGCTGCAGGTTCTTCCCACCCTGGGGTACCTCGGGGGCGCACATCCGGCACCACGCTGCAGATTCTCCCCACCCCGGGGTACCTGGGGGGGGCATATCCGGCCCCATGGTGCAGTTTCTCCCCACCCCGGGGTACCTGGGGGGGCGCAGCCGGCCCCACCCCACAAGCTGCTCTCTAGGCTGGTAGATCAATGGGCTTGTAGTGCAGGCATAGTCTAGCATTCCTGGCTAGCTCCTATATGCGGGGGCGGAGACCCAGCCTACAGGGCTGTCCTGCAGTAAGGAAACCCGAGCCATGCTCCCTGCCTGCATGTTAGAAGTTCAGACTTCTCCTGTGTAAGAAATAGGTGATTCCATGGGCGTCTGATCTCACATTAGTACTAAGTAAGTCCCTGTTCTCTATCATGCTGTCACTTGTCATTTTAATTGCATTATGGAGTAATGTGCATTTCTCGCTTGGCATATTTGTTTCACTGAGATCTTGCACAAATTTTATTATGGTGAAAGCTGTAAAATAAAGTAGGCTTCAATACTTTTCATTAATTGCTGAAAAATTTGGGGCTTTTTTGACAGTGATTGAGATGGATGCTTGTAATCTGGAAAGATAAAGTTTATTCTGGACATAATTGTTAGCTTGGAATTGTTTGAATTGTTATAGCTAGACTGATAAGTTTTAGATTTGTAGAAACTTTTTCAGTTGGACAACAAAACGATTAGCGGATGCAGTGGGGAGTGAAATGGGTTGTTTATCAAAGTCAGCATTTACATTGCTTTTGTTCATGTCTAAAAGGAAAACACCCTTTGGCAGCAGTAAATATTAACATAACATAAGGATGGCCAGACTGGGTCAGACCAAAGGTCCATCTAGCCCAGTATCCTGTCTTCCGACAGTGGCCAATGCCAGGTGCCCCAGAGGGAATGAACAGAACAGGGAATCATCCCCTGTTGCCCATTCCCAGCTTCTGGCAAACAGAGGCTAGGGACACCATCCCTGTCCATCCTGGCTAATAGCCATTAATGGACCTCTCCTCCATGAATTTATCTAGTTCTTTTTTGAACCTTGTTATAGTCTTGACCTTCACAACATCCTCTGGCAAGGAGTTCCACAGGTTGACTGTGCGTTGTGTGGAAAAATACTTCCTTTTGTTTGTTTAAAACCTGCTGCCTATTTAGTGGCCCCTAGCTCTTGTGTTATGAGAAGACGTAAATAACACTTCCTTATTTACTTTCTCTACATCAGTCATGATTTTATAGATCTCTATCATATTCCCCCTTAGTCTCTCTTTTTTCCAAGTTGAAAAGTCCCAGTGTTGTTAATTATGGCAGCTGTTCCATACCCTTAATCATTTTTATTTTTGCCCTTTTCTGGATATTTTCTAATTCCAATAGATCTTTTTTATCACTTTTTAAAAGTGTATCATTTGGTAGTATTGTCATTGCTAATATCTGTCAAGCTTTTTGGAACTTATTAGCCCTTAGCCAGCCTGGGGATATTCAGGTCTACCCAAAATGTTCATTACTGAAGTAGATTTTTACCTTGTAGTGAAAGGTACCAGATTGATAGACTGGAGATTGAAGCCAGGGAACAGATAAGCACAGATGGCAGCAGCGAAGGCCTTTTGTATTCCTTCCTGTACTAAGATGAGTATGTTTTACATAAGATACTGAATAGGTGTCAGATGGTAGTAAGCTTCTGATCACTTCTGACTGATTTGGTTTGAATCCGAGACCTAGAGGTGAAAGGCTTTCTATCAAATTACCCATTTCCCAGTCTCTCCCTCTCTCCATTTTCTCACCTTCCCACAAGACCATTTTGTTTGTTTATATAGTGGTACCAACTAGACTCTAGGTCCCAGCCTCATTGTGCTAGGTACTGTACAGACATGTAGCAAAAAGATCTCTGCTCTGAAGAGCTTTCAATCTTAAGTATAGGCAATCCGTGGGAATCAGGGTCTCAGTAACGTATCGGAGAGAGAGAGATGGCGAAGGTTGCGGAGGGGGATGTAACATGATCAAAGCGATGAGTCAGGAACTGTTGTTGCAGTGGCAAAGTGGGCCACGATGGCATTGGTCAAGGCCAGAGATGAAGAAATTGGTAGCTTAGATACTGAGGACCTGGACAAAAGCTTTTGCTGTAGATGGGGAGGAAAGGCCTGAAGTGGACACATTGCGACAAGAAGAATTGTCAGGGTCTCGACTTTTCTCGAATCTGATGGTCAAATACAGCAACCAGATTAAGACCCTTAGTGACAAGGAATGAGGGTATGTGTGGGAGGATGGGAATTAAAACTCTGTTCTGCCTATGTTTAATCTCACTGCTGGACACCCACAAAGAGAGATGGGAAAGACGGACTGAGATCTTAGCTCGGACAGAAGGATGTTAACATTGTCCCCAGCTGACATGTCTTAGTACTTTGATTTACAGGGATGCTGTCAGGTTAAAATATCTTAATACACTACTAGCACTTTAGTTTAATATATTTTAATCTAAATGTACTCTTCATTGTTTAATACTTTAACCCTACCCATTATCTTTCACTGCCCTTTTTTTTTTTTTTTTTTTTAAGTTTGCATCTTGATTTCACTTCAGGTTACTACACGATTAGTTTTCAAATTGTGTTCCGATGTTCAGAATACTCTACATACATAGAAGTGCCAAGTATTGACTAGGCACCACATTAATTAGGTCCCTTTGTGATTAGGTAGGTCTGTTTTACTAATTTAGGACCAAATTTGCCTGCCAGTGACAATGCAACTCTATTACATTTCTGTAAATGAGAAGAATTTGTCTGTTACCTTATTTGTTCTGTGCACACCACCGCGCCTCTTTATTTGCTCTGCTGTTTCACTGTCCTCCATTTGTCACTTCACAATTGCAACCAAATGGGAGTGGTAGTACCTAACTTCACCACTTTGTGGCACTAAATAACTAAAAATTGCTCTGTTAAGAATAACCTTTACAAGTTGAGCTTATTTAGAGCTCCTCAAACTTAAAATCACAGGGTTCACTTTTAATAGGTAATTGGAGTCAATTTTTTAACATAGGACACTCTCAAATTGTACCTTGTTTTAAAAAGTCAAACATTAGTCTAATGAACAAAGCCTGTCTAGTCTTTCTATTTAAAATGAAAGTGCAAATATAGTGATAGTGGGTGATCAGGTCTGGAAATAGGACTGTTTAACTTCAGGCTAGTGATGTAAGGGCTTGTACATGCTTTTGCTTTGCCCTGCCAGTTGCATCATTCATCAAGCAGAGCAGTTATGCTGGATGAAAATGAAAGCTTATTACATTTCACTCTTTTAGTCTTGGGGGTCTCCCTCAGACTGCCAAACTGAGACTTTCTAATATGAAGAGTGTCCACTTGTGATTGAAGGTGTGGATCTGTTGGTGCACAATACTAAATGAAGTTGCTTGAATAATGGTAGGCTAGTCGAGATCATTGCTTTTGATGAAGTGTCATTCATAGAGGGTAGATTGGGAGGAACTTATTAAATTTGAAGTCTGAGGCAGATCAAACTTGTGGATTTCCATTGAAATATTCTGTTTAGGCGCCTCTCCATTTTTCACAAGCTGAAACTTTATATCCTTGGGCACAGTGTAATAAGATGCCAGCATTTCCTAGTTAAAATAAAAAAGGGAACAAATCTTACGTATCCATTTGAGTCTGGCCCTCTATTTGCTCAAACCCCACCTCCCGTATATTTGAGCATAATATGTGTAGATTTAGGTAATATAACCTGTCTGTATCAAGAAACACTCTTGCACTGGTAATTATTTTCAGAACTGTTCAATATTCCACTATTAAAGTTAAAACTGCTCATCAGACTTCTAGAATGATAGCATAATTGGGTTATTGCTGTTCGGGCTACTTGTGTAGTAGTGCTGACCTGACTTGTGAAGGGCATCTGCTGAGGACTTCTGCTTGGATTCTGAAAATTAATTGCTTCAGTGGCTAAAATTATCAGCATGGATCATAAATTATGTAGGGTGTAATTAAATTGAAAATATAGATCTTTTAGTATTTCCCTTATGATTTTTTAGTATGTTATGTTTTTATGCAATTTTGATTTTTTCCCCCCCCCGATTGCTAGAAGGTTTTTAAACTGAATGTAATAGAAACATCTTGTGGGAGGAGGAGAAGAAAAGTGGGTTTAAGATCAAGCGTAGTACCTGTTCTTATCAGTTTAATAATCTTTGTTTCATGAAACAGATACAGTCTGATGTATAACTGGATAATTTTAATCTTGTTTCCCACAGGATTTTATGGAAGACCATGGATTATGGAGCAGAGGAAAGAACTTTTTAGAAGGCAAGTCACGTTTCCCCTTGGTTTGCAATGTGCTCCAGAACAGTAAAACTATCATCTTCCACTTAGTAGACTATTAAGGATACTCAGGCCTGACTTAGGGCAGCATTTTACGTATTATTTGTATTTTAGCTGATTACATTTCCCTTCTAATCTTGCTCAGGCTGTTCTGGATTTGTCTAGTCTCTCAAACTTTTGCAATACCATTTTGAATTAGTAGTATAGTGGTGAATGTTCTCAAAGACAAATGGATAAATTTGAGAATGAGATCCTATAAAATGCAGCTTTGTTGCACTTGTAGAATACTAATGGAGGCTTTTCCCCCCGTTATAGGCTTCAGAAATGGGGACTGAATACCTACTTGTATGCTCCAAAAGATGACTACAAGCACAGGATGTTCTGGCGAGAAATGTACTCTGTGGAGGAAGCTGGTAATTGCCTTTATTCCCCTCTGTATTTTCTATAAGTAGTTGCTGAATGAATCACAGTCACTGGTACATGTGCTTGTATGTTTAATCATTGTATCCAGTTTTAAAGGTGAATGGCAATGCAGAAAAGCATTAGGTCAAGGTTTATATACTGAATGCCCCTTGCAAGCTTACTTAATAGGGCTTGCAACATAAGTTTGGGTTTTCCTTCACTTTAATTTTAGCTTTGCATTTCACCTCTAAAACTCCGCTTAAGACTAGCTTTAGTTTTATTGTGGGATTTACTCTCCTTCAACTTTCCCTCTTCTGGCAGTGAGAGGGGTTCATTTTGAATTTTTTCCTTATCTGAATTGGTCATCGGGGCCTTATTGTAAGGAAGGGGAAAATATTTCCTTTTTAAAATGGAATGAGCAGATCAGCTTGCTAATGTCTCTGGTTGATCAAGTGCGCGCACACTAGTGAGGGGAGCCATGACTGGAACTTCAACTTCTGGCTTAATCAGAACTTTAAGGTAAAAACCAGAAGTTTGACATTTGGGATTTATTTAGTAGCTGGTGGTTTTCACAAGAAGTGGTTACTCTTCTTTCTCTTCCCTGATTTCCCAGCAGCAGAGGAGACCTAGCTAGCATAACTACGGTGTTCTTGTCCAGTAGTGCCCCAGTGTTGTCAGCCCTAACAATCTGAAAATAAGTAAAATTGTACAGTCTTAGGGCCTGCACCTAGGAGTCTTGCTGCTGACTTCATTGAGGAGAGGAGATGGCCCTTACTGAGTTTTAAGGTGCTCTTGTCACCAGTGGAAAAGAGCTATTCTGTCAGAGCACAGAGGTTTGTTGGCTAACAGGGCATTTGTAGGAGTCTCTTCCTTGGGTGAAGGAGAGAGACGATAACCACATCAGAATTAAATCTTGTAGGGGCTACTTTGAATGGTTTTAGGAATAAAGTTAAAGGGATGTTGGCAGATGACAATTATATTTATAAAACAAATTTTCTTACCTGTTACCAATAACACCGTAGGTTATTACAGGTTCCAAAAAAATTATTTGTTTACTTCTGCTTCTCTCAGCTTGGAGAATGAAATTTGCCATTTTTTTTTTTAAGGATAACTTCTACTCAAAGGTTTTTAAAAGCCACTATTGATGCATCCTGTAGCTCAGCAGTATACAAATATTGGAATTGAAAGCATCAGACAAAGAGTTCAAATGAACAAATCCTGTTTGCAAAAATTGATTACTACATTGGATCAGTTCTTTAATATTTTTGACCCATATGGAAATGAGTAACAGTTTCAGAGCTTTTAGGTTTGATTCCATATAAACAGGTGAAATGCACCCATGTTTGCCACACAACAACAAGATCAAACTGGCATATTCTCATTCTTTTAAAAGGTTTCTAAAACTAATGATAAATGTGAAATGAAGCTTAAACTACAAGACAAGTATTTGTTACCATCCCTTTAATGTTGTTTCTCTACACAATTTGCAATACAGCTTAGTGCTTACTGCTGCATCAGTAATCTTAGAACATTCAAAATATTTGTTAAAGCTACCTGAAACCCTTTCTTGGCTTCTAGCAATGGAGTAATTTGCTTTTTATAATGTATTTCTTAATATTTATGAGGAGGTATCTTAGCTTTCTTATTGATGAATCCTTCTGAAATACTTGGATTTAACTCTTAGAGCAACTCATGACCCTAATCTCGGCTGCCCAAGAATATGAGATAGAATTCATCTATGCCATCTCGCCTGGACTTGATATCACTTTCTCAAATACAAAAGAAGTGTCCACATTGAAACGCAAGCTGGACCAGGTAGGTCTTGTTGAAACTCTCAGCCCATGTGATTTAAGAATGTTTGGAACTTCCAAAATAACTCAGTAACTCATGTGTCTGCTGTACACTTGGTGGCATTTTTTGACCAATTTTGCTTTTAAGTATTGAACATAAGTGCCAATGTCTGTATAATACTATGTCTAATAATATTCAGAGTTTCTCATAAAATAAACAATGAGGCTTTGGGATTGAAACTACTGTAAGCGTCAGGAAGAACTTTTTCACCCATGTTAGATTTTGTACAATTGGCCAGTGCACTATGGGAACTTCCTTAGAGGCAGGATGCTGGCAGTGATCTGATCAGGAATAGCAATTCTTACTAACTGTTGTTGGGAATTTTGGTCCTAAAATCATTTTTAAAAACCTCAAACTAAGACTCCTATCCAAAGGGAAGGATGGTATTCCTCCAAGAAAAATTTCAATGGGGAAGACCTAAAATGTGCACATACCTTCTAAGTTCCTGTGATGTTCTGCTCCACTTCACCCGAGGGCTGTTGCTGAATTTGGTCTTTCCTAGTTGTCTGCTTCTCCTATGAGATAAGACTTGGATTGGGAAATTGGAACAGACTGCCAGTCTCCAGTGGTATCCTTGAGAAAAACATAATGGTGGGTCAGAGTCATGCATTAATTGGCGATAACTGCCAAGGCATTCCTCTTCCTTCCCTCCCCCATTCCTCTAGTCCTTCCTTTATTGGAAAGAGTTTTGAATTTGCAAGGCACACTGTGGTAATGGAATCACTCCAACATGCGTCACTCATCTTGCGATGCTGTGCACTTTATGCAGGGTACTGTGGATTTGATTTAAATGTTGACATATACTTGGGAATTTCAAGTGTATTTTTAGATTACAAATTACAAACTGAAAAACAGTGATTCCTCAAACAGAAATTGACTCATACTTATTTTGTGGGCTATTTGTTTTTTTTTTTTTGGGGGGGGGGGGCGGGGAGGAAGGAATGTTGGCTGATCCTGTTAAAGGCAAGTTAGCTTTTAGAAGTTTTTATGGTTTGTTTTCTTAATTTTCTAAACATTTCTCTTCACTTCTTTCCCCTTCTGCTCTAGGTTTCCCAGTTTGGCTGCAGATCCTTTGCACTGCTGTTTGATGATATTGATCACAACATGTGTGCAGCAGACAAAGAAGTCTTTAGCTCCTTTGCTCATGCCCAGGTCTCCATTACTAATGAAATATATCAGTATTTAGGAGAACCAGACACATTCCTATTCTGTCCTACAGGTAAAACATTAGGACTAATTTTACTTTGTGATAGCTTTGAAATTTAATGAGCCTTCTATTTTACTGCACCCAGGTCAATGAA